AATTCTTCTGCTCAACGTATCTCAAGGTTTAAAAAGGTTTCAAAGAGTAATACTCAAAAGAGGATTACACTTTTTATGCCTACATGCCTGTAATCAATTTTTTGAGAATATGCATCTGCAACACCTCAATACTACAATGGTAATAAATTTAAAAAAATTAAAATATGTGCAATTATAATAATAGTTATTAAGTCGTAAGCGTAGAACAAATCTTATTCAGATATGCAATATAAACAAGATGCTCTTTCAAATCTGACGTCAAGTGAACAATCGAAGTAGAGTTCACCACTTTTAGTGTTCTCGGTATATAAAGAGTTATTGTTGTAAGCACTTTGCACTGAGACGACATGACTTTCTCTTTCGTAAATCATGTACCCATTAGAGCTGAGTGGACTCAGGGAAGGTGTATTGACATAAAACTGTGATTAAAACTCAAGACGTTGCGGTAAAAATCTGTTTGCTGTACCATTCGACCACGCCTTCCCAAAGGGTCATAAGATAGTCCAGGATTTACATTACTAAAGTGTTACGTCTTGTTGTTTCCTCTGTGCATTAAAATAATAAATGAAATATGTAAATAGAGAGGATAAAGGTATGTAATAAGTTTTTAGTGATATTGAAGACTGGGTTGATGTTCTCTCTTGATTGGCGACGTTATAACTAAACGCTTATCTAACTACAATCTACACTTATTTCATGACTACACTGAGTTGAGGGTTGATTTAATCATTGGAAATACAAGACTGTATGCAGAGTACAGTAATTTTAAAGTTGACAACGAAGCGGCCAAGTACAAGATGAGCTTATCATCATTTAGGGGAAACGCTACAGACCGTTTAAGTTACCACAATGGAATGATGTTTTCTACAATAGACAATGATAACGACGTTAATACTGAGAACTGTGCCCAGCTATACAAGGGTGGCTGGTGGTATAATATAAATTGTTACCACACAAATCTAAATGGTGTATGGAATCTCTCTTCAGATGAAGGAATTTTTTGGGATGGATATGCCAAGTTTGTTGAGATGAAATTACGCTCGATATAAGCAGAAAAGGAAATTTGTTCAGTGCTAATAGTGTGGACAATATTCTGTACAATATTTGCTTAAATACTTGCTAGAAGATTTGAAATATTTTAAAATGTTGTACTGTTATGTTTCGTAGTATAAAAATACATTTTTATACATAATTTAAATAATTACTGTTTACTGTTACTGTTACTGTTTCTGTTTAGGAATATTTCAGTAAGTTAAGTTAACGCTGGATGCATTAAAATGTTGTATTCAATAAATTTATTAGCTTTCTATAACTCTTAATATTATGGAATTAATTTTATTTGTTAATACATTAAAAAATTATCTTTATAATTATAGTGTTGTTATTTTAATAAATTCATTACAATCGGTATTGGAGATGAAGCCGTCTCAGAAGTAAATAGATGAAGTAAATACTAGAAGGGTCATGTAATTAAGATGAAACCAGAATAAATAAGATTAATGACTCAGAGTTTGGCACTGTAAGGAAAAATAAGACAGACAATGACAAGTGTGACTTGGAGACTAAAAGCAGTCTAAGCAGACAATAGCCGCCTTACTTTATATAGGGACCCTAGAAGTATATGTATTTAGATTAATTTTCTTCAACTTGACGGAATTTATTTTTTTAAGCCTATAAGGAACAAATGGCTGCAGCTACACCAACTTTTATTTTCCCCTGGAAGTTCCAGTTCCTCACTTTCCTCGCGATGTTGAAGTCAACTTTTCTCATTGCGTTCCTAATCCATCCTTATTTGCAGTCTTTAATATACCTGTCTATCGGCTGTTGTTTTGTTGTTTGTCAGATGTGCTTATAAGAAGTCTATACAATTACCTGTATTAATTACCGGCGGAGATATAGATATTATACAAGTTGTAATATTCATTGTAGAATACACCTCCGACAAACGAACCCCTCAGATTTTTTAGAGTTCTACTCAGTTTCAGATAGTGTCGCATGAAGAGTAGCTGTAAAACCTTGATTATGAAAAACAAGAGGCTCTATAAAAAATACTTAGCCTTCTAATATCCATAACACTTAGCTCCCCTGGTGCAGCAAAGGAATAAGCCAAGTAATTAATTATTGATGCTAAAAAGCAAAGAGATGTAACTAAAAAAACAATTATAATGCAAGCATCCTTCCAGATTTGTTTTGCACCAATTACACCAATTCTAGCTATCTTATTATTTCGAGTTTTCCTAAATTAATTGCCAATAAGCTAATACTCCTGATTATGATATTGATGTATCCAGGTGTGCTTCATTCATAATTGTCAACAGTGAAGACTTTTTAGAGTAGAATATATCTTCATAACGTAGAGTAAATACGTTCACCAAAAACTCCTAAATTTAAAATTCAGAAACGAACAATAGTAATAAAACAAATATAAAATCCTAATAGCGACAAGCTATAAAATACACTGAAAATAAGAAAATGAACCTAATTAAATTTAATGACTAATTAAACAACTAATTAATTAAAAATAGAAAGATTTGTATTGTCTTCGAAGTGGAACGTATCTGAACAGATTGAACGGAATCGCTGCACTAGAAATGGGTCAAAGTGGTCGTCAATAAATGACGTCACACTCGTAGGGGGGAGTGGGAGATCCGTTATTTTGTGAGGGTGTGTGATGAGGGAGAGTGGGGGGGGGGGTTCAGATGTGTGACGCCATACTCTTGCATTATAAAAAAGCAATGTTAGAAAACGAATTTTAGCCGTTATTTCGCGTTTTAGAAAACTTAATTAATTGAAATAGGAATTGATTAAAAGTTTCTATTTCCGTTCAGATTTTTTTTTATAAATATTGATATTTTAAGAAAAATTCAATTGCAATTTTGAAGGGGGGGGGGGGTTGTAGGCGGACATGTGACTTCGTTTTATGGGATGGGAGTCTGGCTTGTTGTGAATATGTGTGACGGAGCAAAGGGGGGTAGGGCAGATAAGAATCGTTTTAAAAAGTGTGACGTAATTTTTTGATGAACACAAAAATTAGTTGCAAGATTTGCAACAAACGCACAAACAGACGTAACATTCATTTCAGAATACATTTCCGACAATCGAACTAAATAAAAACGTGTTAATAAGTAAACTAAATTCTGAAACGTACATTGTAATTATTGGAAGATGTTAATCCAATGGCAGCAGTAGTAGTGTTATTAACGGGGTCGGGGTAGTCGGGTAGGTAAAGGTCTTTGTTGCTGAACCGAAAAGTCACGTGTTCGACCCTCAGGCTGAAGAGGCTCGATAACTGGGGAGAGCCACTACACCTAAGAGAGAAAATCCAGAATGAAAATCAGGCTGGAATTAGAGTAAAAGGCTAATAAAGTGCATAATAAGTTTACACGAAATACTTATTTGTGTTTGGGAAAATGTATTCTAAATTTACAATTAACGAGCGGACGCGCGCTGTAAGTTTTCGCCGCTATTCAGTTGTTTTATTTTCTACTATTTAGTAATTCCTAATTTGTAAAGTGAATTCAACACTACCAATGTTGCGAGTGAAAATATTTTGCTTTAAATCACTATCAGTTGCTCGTGAAGGACGATTATCCTCACCATCCCCACTCCCACTCCCACCCCCTACCCCGAACTCCGTGAAAGCAGCCGTCCGTGACGACAGTTTACAGACAACATTGAAAAGATCAAGCATAACTTGTTATTACCTCCTCTTAGTTTCCAATACTAGTAATTGCTGTCACTAATTCGACCTGGCTCTACGACTATAAACATTTGTGATGGACCACAGCTCATCAGACAGGTGGGGGTGTTGTTGTAGCGATATGCCTAGAGAGCGAGTGAGTGGGCGGTTCGGCGTGCTAACGTGGTGTCCCGCATGGTGCCTCTCTGACTAGTATTATATGTATAGATAAGGAAGAAAAAAACTATGATTGACGTAATATATAGTAAGGTTTTAATTGTTAATGTATAAACGTATATATTTAAATCTTTAATGATTACTCATTTAAAAATAATAAAAATATAAATATTATGATAATTTTTAAAATAAACAGTAAAATCAAATTGAATATTCAACTTTGTGAAGCCACTAAGACAGTGAAACAGACGAGCAGATAACGGTATTATAGTTTTAAACGGAGATTGAAATATTACTTCATCACTAGTTTTAATTAAATTGACTCTAAAAATATCTGTTAACTCTGAGGTTGTTGTTTGTGTGTGTGTGTGTGTGTTTTTTTTTGGGGGGGGGGGGTGAGGGGAATTCAGTAACTTATCTAACTAATTTGAGCAGCTTAAAGTGAGAAAAAAATACTCAACTTTGTGAAGCCACAATGACACAATGCAACAGCCGAGTAGATACCGGTATTATTGTTTTGAAGGGAGATTTAAAGATTATTTCATTACTTGTTTTTATTAAAAATGACTCTGAAAACATCTGTTAACTCTAGGTTTTTTAGTAAGAGGGGGAAGGGGATTCAGTAACTCATCAAAAAATAATTTAGGCAGCTTAAAGTGAGAAAGATAATTTTGAATTAAATAGCTGTAACTTTATTTTTATCAGGGGTTCTCATTATAAGCGCATCATAAGTAAAAAAAAATAACATCTCACTTAGTGTACCATTCTGTTCTTTATAAAAATCCAAGCTACTTACACAATTAAGTCACTTCATATGTCGCCAGCTGCATCCTTTCACTGTAAATGTTTCCACTCGACAATTGTGTGCTACATCTTGAAAAACTTAACAGTCAGCTTCTTGTATGAACAGCTCTGTGCCACAAAATATCAGTGTACAAACACTTACTCAACTTGTCGGGGAATGTAAAGACAAGTTGACACTTACAAGCTCTTCTGAAACATTACACGTACCACTGTTGCAAAACAACCAGTTTATTTTTAGTACATTGTTGTGTAATACACAGATCCTATTTAATCTGTCTTAAAATTGTCCAATATGGAGGTCATATTTTAGTCACGTGACCACTTTAGATATTTAGTATATAATATAGAAAGTAGACAGCGGTTGACAACGTTGGATACCGAAGATTTTCTAAGTCTACATGAAAATGTCTTCAACAGTGTTGTACACTCTGTTGACCATACATTTCTTTGTGTGCTATGGTAGGTAAATTATTCGAAAATTAATTTTACACATTTTTCAAGAATTCTTATTAATTAATACTTCATAAATTTGTTAATTATAACTGTCAAGTGTTCATTAAAATTCATCATACATCAATATTTTTATTAATCGATAAAACATCACATTCTGTTTAAATATATGTATTATGAAATATATTTAATTAAAGATACTCTGTTTTAAGTATCACTATTTATTTTACTTTTTTTGAAAATAAGTTCTAAATCAAAAAATTTTTAATTATTTTTTGAAAAAGTTAAATCATAAAACAATCGCAAAATGAAACAGTAAATGTTTTGTATTTTTACAATTTGCAGGTTTAAAAATAGACATGAAGAGAGAATTATTTTACCAGGGCAGGGAACTGTTTTGTGCACAACTCCAGTGTACAGAAAACATAAGAGAAGACACTCAGATATCAGCTCTGGTCAACATGTCAGTCTATGTGATCAACGAACCAGGGGACAAGTTAATGTTGGCGTCTGTTTCAGGATCAGATTCAAAGGCTCGAGATTACAAAGTGCCTTGGGTTTTTGTGGACGGGAATATATCCCACCATGGCGGAGAGCTGCAGTTGTTTTTGTCCAATGATTCCGCTTGCCACGATAAGACATTTAAATGTGAAATATACTTCACGTATAAGACAGGAGAGATTGGGTTCGTAGAAGAAGAAACTGCACCATTACCAAAAGAGAACATGCGGAAATCAGATTTGATGATGAATTTAAAAGCTAAAACGGTAAACTATGTTAAAACTGTCGACACTATGGCCGCTTTTCTGAAATCCTTTGAAGATCCAGATAAACTTAAGGGAGCTGACATGTCAATGTCATTACAGATGTCACATTCAGGTAGCGATGAGCATAAAAATGACATTATCAGCCTTCCTTCCAACAATAGAATCACGAATAATCATAAACAAAATGAATCTTCTAATCTAATAGACATCATCCTATCAAATTTAAACAAGTTGACACATGATTTTAGAGACAAAATGAACTTTATCAATGAACGATTAAGTGGTTTAGAAGAGGAACTTAACAAAACCGTTCCTGAAAGAAATAAAACCAAAAACTTATCTATTACCCCAAAGGATACCATAGAAGAAAAAAATAAATCTTCAGTATGGGCAATAGAACAGGTAGGCTATATGTGAAAATCTTGTTATATATGTATTTGTCAAATAATTGTGTGTATCAGATGTGTAGCTTCTCTTATGCGAGATTATACAAAGCAAAATAATTCAATATTTCATGTATTTCTTAAACAAATTGTAAATGAAAACTAACTGTAGGTCTACATGGTATTTTGTTTAAATCTCTTTTTAGTGTACACAAAATTTCAATTCACAATGGTTAAGCCGTCAGATTGTGCAATTGGACGTATCAAAATTGACGTTGTGTGATACTAAAACTGACTACGGCGGATGGATTTTAATACAGGTATTGTTACCAAATGTTTTTAATTATTGTGGTTAAAACGTATTATTAAACGGTTGTGAACTAATGGTGTTTGGTTGTTTTTTGTAAATAATCAGTTATTTTCACCGATTTATGCAAGGAGGTGATGGCTGAGTCTTACTAATAATTGATAGTAAACACTACCAAAACAAAGTAAATTAATTATAGTTTTTAAAAAAATACGTGCACATTTTAATTGTATTTTATTAACTTTCTCACAAGCGCCGTGTTTTAGGCGATGTAAACTTCATCAGAGGATGGGACGACTACAAACATGGGTTTGGATCAACGGCAGGAGATTTTTGGCTTGGTAATGACTGGATCTCCTGGCTTACTAGGATAGTGAGTAATACTTTGTCTCTTATAGTGCTATGCAAAATTTAACTTATAAAAATAAAATTTAAAGAATGTTAGCTTATGCCATTTTTTTAAAATGGTAAAAATATTTACAAATGTTTTTTTTTTACATTTGCATATTATACGGAAACATATGTTTTAAAATCAGCTTAGGAATGTTAAAAAACCACCGATTTTTAAAATATAGTTGCACCATATTCTTACACTTTTAGTTTTATGTCTATAATTATAAAAATCCTCCATAAATTAAGAGTTTCAGTAAATCACATTACGGAGAGATAGGCTAATTATCGCAAATGGTCACATTTTCGTAAATAAAATAGATCGTGGAAGGTGTTAAACATTTATAGCAATCTAATCCTGCAAAATATCAGAGTAACATTTTAGGATAAACGAGAAACTGTTTTCAAGTAAAATAACGCTTTTTTTACAATATGTACCAAAATAGCGCGATTATTATGTGACTATTGTCGTTTAAGTTAACGATTAATGAACGTTCAGTTGAATAGTGCTTAAAACGAAGCTTAATTAAAAATGTCTAGAATTTTCATATCGACTTTATCGTTGTGACAATATTTTGCTCAAGGATTTCCGTTAAGGTTCTACTTTGCTTGTCTGTACTGGTTTCACTTTATTTTTACGCCTATAGTTTATAGTAAATTGTCTACAATCTACATAGTGTTTACATTTCAGGGTTACACTGAGTTGAGGGTTGATTTAATCATTGGAAATACAAGACAATATGCAGAGTACAGTAATTTTTTTGTTGACGTCGAAGCGGCAAAGTACAGGATGAGCTTATCATCATTTAGGGGAAACGCTACGGACCGTTTAAGTTACCACATTGGTAGGATGTTCACCACTATAGACAGCGATAACGATGAAAACAGTGGCAACTGTGCTCAGTTATGCAAGGGTGGGTGGTGGTATAACAATTGTCATCATTCCAATCTAAATGGAGTCTGGAATGTGTCTGGAAATACGGGACTTACTTGGAATTCAGACGTCAAGTCTGTTGAGATGAAACTACGCAAAAAATAATTATTGAAACATCTGTAGTATTATGGTGTAAATGAGTTGTCTAAAAAATCTAAACTATGCAAAATGTTAGATATTCAATTGTCAAGAGTGACGCTTTATACTATTGACTATGGGACGATGTGGTTGAACAGCATAGCGCACGAAATTAATCCAAGAGTTTCGAGTTCGAATTCCGGCTAAAGTCCTTAGACCATCACTAAGTCTGCGCAGCTTTAATGGGTACCTAGCTGACGTTAAGAAAAATAAAGGTGCTGACTACGCTACCCCTTCATATGCCCAGGTGACAGAAATAGGTGAATTCTACAACAACTGCGACATGGACCTTCATTACTGATAGGGGTAACGTTAATTACGTTAATTACACACTTAAATTAAATTAGGCACATTAAATGTAAATAAAATGTCGTGAACATAATCAAACCTTAAGGCATGCATTCGAATTTCTTTTTTTCATAATTAATATAATAACTTCATTTTTACATAACAACGAATAGTTAAAACAGTTACAATTTGTTACTTTATTCACATAATTATGCTTATTATTATGTAAAATTGTAAACCATTTATCATGAATAAACTATTTAAAAACAAATTTTATGTTGACTTTTATATGTGCAAAATATATCCTGTTCTGATAAATTAAGATGTAAGAACGTAAACGACTATTGTATTAACAACTACCAATGTAATTAAGCTTTTGTGTTGGATACAAAATCTAGCACATTAAAATAAAGACCAAAACAAAAATATCGAAAAAAGAAGTAATTCTACAGGAGATCAAACAAGGAGGCTACGGCGGAATACTAGCACATGTGCTAACACGATTTATTGTTCATCATTGGCTTGTATCTCACGCAAGGACTGTGAGAGTTTAGACAAAGTACACGGACATGTTTACACTTTAGGTAAAACGATGTAATTATTTTCTCTACCCTAGCAAGTGATCCATTCATGCAAATCAATATTTTTCTGTTTTATTGCAAGATATTTTTAGAATCCAAGTAATACCAACTCAGAAATGTTTTGAAACAAAATACCGGCTGTTTGTTGCTGATTGGTTTTTGAAATATTGCCTGGACAGAAAATGTTCCATTTCCGGTAATAGGTTGTACTGTCTCTGAACTATAAGAATAGAACTTGTATTACAATGATTTGTACTAATTAAAACAGGCGAAAGTTTTAAAAAGAATGCATCTTTCATTTTTAAAAACTTCCAGAATATAACATTTTTTGGCATGATCCTCCATATAGTTCTAAGAAAATGCTATACTAATAAATGAAAATATAACAGGCATATCTTTTTAAAATCTAAGCACACCATCTGCTGCATTAAAAATATAAAATAAATATTGACAACCTTGATGTCGTGCTTGAGATCTGAGTCACCGCTTACATCTGTTTGTGGGTTGTGTGTTGTGAGCGTTAAAGGTTAGAGTGACATTAATCTTAAGAGAAACAACATCTGGCTTGGGAAAAAGTTGTGCACTAATTTAAGTGGTTTGTATCTGAGTCGGATACACAGGCCATACGCTTATATGATCAAGCAAAGTATGTTATATAGACAAAGAAATAAACACACACATAAATATTATATATATATGTATATACACACACATATATATATATATATATATATATATATATATATATATATATATATATATATATATATATATATATATATATATATTGATATTAATATAATTATTATAATAATAAATACTACTTTATATGATAATAATGTATAATAATTTAATTTATAATTAAAAAATTAATAATTTATAATAATTAATAAAAATAAATGTATAATAAATTATAAATAATAGTTGTGCATATAAGCATACAATGGTTCGGATCTCTTGTATCATTCAATCGTTTTTAAATACATAAGCATATGCTCCTACGTATTAGGACTTAGCAGCAAACGTTAAAATCACAGACTATTTTGATTGATTTTACAAACGTTTACAACACAAACTATTTTGGTTGATTTTACAAAGGTTTACAACACAGACTATTTTGGTTGATTTTACAAAGGTTTACAACACAGATTATTTTTCCTGATTTTACATTTATAACACAGATTAGTATCCTGAAGTTACAAACGTTTAAACGCGGCATCACTATGGATGATGTATGGCTGTTGTGCTTGACTAAGTGTCGTCAAGTACTTTCTTCCAGAAGTCATTGTCCGTTTTCTGGTGTTATGTTGCCGGGCTGGTTGTAGTCGGATTTTGATTTAGGGAGCGATTCTAGTAGTGACAAATGGATTACTTAACAAGAGCAAACAGGCTTCCATTTTAAGAGGAATTAGATTTAACATCTAAATGTGATCAACTATTGGCAAATAGTTAACTTATCAACTGCAAACAGGTACCCGGCATAAGAAGAATTAGATATGACCCCTATATATTTTGCCATACTTACCAACAAATCTGTTTGTTAAGCTCCTTTCATTTGGTTTATTAAGATCATGTGAAATATTTAGCCCGGATCTACACATTCTAACTCTTGATCGTTACGTTTGTCTGAAGCCATAGGCCTATTCTCTGAGAAATTTTTTTCTCGGGATATCATTGTAGGTAACCAATATCGATGCCTATTACAAAGTTTAGCGTTTATAGGATACACGGTAAGGGGCGAACAGTAGGTGACGGTTTCAAAGAGACTGACCGCCTTGACATGACTGTAGTAGCCGTTATGTTGACCAGTGGCCAGGGTTGTTAGCGCCAGGAGAGGATAAATTGTTGGTTCAAATGTTTTGAGTCCGTGATCCACATGGGAATAGCGAGAAGATAAGACACTGGTATAAAGACAGGCAGGTTAGATATTCAAATAATTCTCTCTCTTTTTCGACCAAAAACAGTCAGGATATGCCCGCCCTCTATTTGATTTACAGGTGGCTAGGGTCAAGCTATGCTCGGCAGTGCGGGTGTTTATTTGACTTACAGGCGACAGGATATTTAGAAAGTTTTCTGCTCTGTTTGTATCGTCTTACTGTCGCTGTTTCTAAGTTGTTGGAGGAAAACAAATATTAATTAAATTCTCTTTCTTAGACAAACATACCAAATCAATTCGCCAACGTTTTACTTTACTTAATGTATCTATATATATATATATATAAAGCAATGTATGTCTGTGTGTCTGTGTATGCATTACCACACCTCTAATCACATCGCCGCGAAACTTTGGGAAGTTGTTGTGAATATTCCTGGGGAGGTTTGAAAAAAAATTCAAATTCGCAGGGGGGGGGGGGGGGGGGGCCCGCCCCGGCAGGGCGCAATTTGTTTTTTCTCTTTGTACGGTATATAAAAATAAAAGTCGATTTTGATTTGACACCGTTCATTCGATTCGAAAGCCATGAGACTTTGGGGAGTTGATTAGAATCTGGGGAAGGGTTCTGTAAAAAAATCATTTTTAATTTCGCAAGGGCGGCGCCACGGGAGAGTGCGATTTTTCTCAAAGTACGGTACATAAAAATAATAAAAGTGAATTGCGGTAACACCGTTCTCACGATCGCCATGAAACGTTGAAAAGATGTTGAGAATATTCCTGGGGAGGTTTTTGCGCTAAATACATTTTCAAATTCGCAGGGGTGGCACCCCGGCAGGACGCGATTTGTATTCTCTCTATATATGATATATAAAAATAAAGTCGATTGCGGTCTCACAACGTTCATCCGATAGCCATCAAACTTCACGGTTTCGATTAGAACACTCTAGGGAAGGGTTCTGTAAATAAAATCATTTTTAATTTTGCAAGGGCGGCGCCACAGGAGGGTGCGAATTTCTCTTTACGGTATATAAAAATAAACGTCGATCGCGGTTTCACGGCGTTCATCCGATCGCCATCAAACTTTTGGGAGTTGATTAGAACACTCCAGAGAATATTTCTGTAAAAAAATCTTTTTTTTTTTAAGTTCGCAAGGGCGGCGTCACGGAATGGTGGGACTTTTTTTTATATATACGGTATATAAAAATAAAAATAAACGATTGCGGTTCGACACAGTTTATCCCGGTGCCATAAAACTTTAGGGAATTGATGAATACTCCCGAGGTTTCTGGGGTGGGAGGGGGGGGATAGGATGGGTGGGCGGTGAGGGAGTGGAGATTTAATTTTGCATGGGCGCCCCCCCCCCCCCCCCGGCAGGATGCGCTTTGGCACCCTGGTCTCTCCTTGAGCGCTATGGTGAATACGTTCGGTCTAAACAGTGTGATAGACAATGGATAGGATGGGGCGTTACAAACGATCACTGAATCGAATCAGGCGTGTCCTCTGGCGCCCTGGTAGGGTACGATTAGGCTGCAAATAAAAATGTCTGTTTCGGCCCCCAAAGGCTCACATGGGCCGCTGAGGGCCATGTAATACGTTTTATTTTAATAATTAGAAAAATTAACCAAGGTTAGATTATTTATTAAGTAGGATGTTTCTTTTTGTCCGTAAAAAAATTCAAACAGTTTCGTCACTTTGCGAATGATGCAATTAGCATCTATTTTTAGATAATCCAATCAGAAATTGAGATCGAGCATCTAATAATAGACCATTAGTAACGCTAACATATTGCATCAGTCACACTGATGTTTAAACACGTCAAATAATTTTTTTACGTATTAAATAACAAATCGATCCAGGTTTCTCTTATTTAAGACGCCAGGTTGCGTTCAGTAATTGATTGTCAAGTCTACCAAAAGAGAAAAATGTTCGTACTTTTGCTCTGTGCATTGCTGGCTGTAACTGATGTGGGTATGTTATTTAAAGTTTATCAGACAACATTCTAAATGCAATTTGTTGACTAGCTTATATTTTATTTATTATAAGGTCTACATTATTCTTGAAAAAAATAACGCACCCCATTACAGTATTTTAAATTAATGTATATTGTTTGGTAACCACACACCTCGTTTTTTTTTTAACCAGCTAAAATAAAAATAAAAACACTGGTTAATTTCTGTTACTTCAAATTTTTAGGTGTGAAAAAATTAAGTTGATATAAAAGTTGTTATTTATAACTTATTTTATATTTATAGGAGTATCACAAAGGGTGATTGTCACCCTGTGTGGACCCAACATTCCGCTAATCCTGCAGATGCTACTGCGTCTATCATACAATATAAAATTCACTAAAACACGCAATAACACTGTACTTAATATGTACAGCTTATGCACTTCCCCTTAGAAAGAAAGAATATATATATATATATATATATATATATATATATATATATATATATATATATATATATATATATATATATATATATATATATATATATATATATATATATATTATCCTGCCGCCCCCTCGCTCGCTCTTTAGGTATGCGCAACAGAACGTACTGCTATCACCCCACTTACACCAGTCTAGTAAGCTGTGGTTCACGCCGAATGTTTACAATCGTAGAGCCTGGTCGAATTGGTGACGGCTGTTAGGGGCAGATAACTTATTTTTTAAACGATTCGTAATTAAGGAGAGGTAAAAAGCTCTTGATCGTTTTATTGTCGTCTGTAAACTGTCGTTACGGACGACTGCTTTCACGAAGTCTTCACACGTCACTAAAGAGCGGCGTATTCCGCACCGCGGGTCGGCTCGGAATACTATAACAATTTTCAGAAATAAGTCTAGATTTAGATTTAAAAACTATAATTTCCTAATACACAATGCTAATCACTAACATTAACAAGATGCATCTATTCGCGTCATGAAGCGTTATGGTTTTGACAGGAGCAAAGAGAGTTAGGCTTAGTTTAGTTGGTTGCTGGAGTATGCTTATGTGGTGCTTCTTACATGCAATTGTGGGCACCCCCATCCCCACTCCACCTTTTAAAATTCTCATATGACTTCCAACAGCTTCCAGAACCTGTAATGGAGATGTTACAAAGCTAAATCCCACTGGATCGAAAATTGGAGGTAATGTTCGTTAATTAGCTTCATTACTGCGATTAATTGCCTGTTCAAGATTTGACTTAAGAAGATTAAAATTTCGTTATTTACATTTTATTACAAAGTTTAATGGTTTAAAAACACGAAATTCTCTGTATGTAACATCGATACAACTACATATATACTCGTTATTTGTCATGTGTTTTATTTTCATTTTTATTCCAGGCGTAGCTGATTCTAACAAACAGGCCGAGATTGATGTCCCAGCTCTCACTAAACAGTTAGCGTGTTACCAGGCCTCTGCTGATGCTAACTGTGAGTACTCACTCGCACACACTGGTTTCAGCAGTTACATTCGTCTCGGTCTACTAGGAACAAAAATACATAACCCTTTATTGAGAATATTCCATAGCTTTGCGCATTAAAAAAAACTAAATTATTTAAAATTCTCATTGTTGAACTGGCAAGTATTTAAATGTAAACAGTGCTCTTTTTACATACATTAAAACATTTTATGAAGTATTATTTAGGATTTAATAAATGTTACACACACTTTTAATACATATATTTTGCAACCCATAAGGGGTGATCCATAAATGACGTCACACTCGTAGGGGGGAGGGTGGGGTCCGTAATTTTTTGACAATGTGTGATGAGGGGGAGGGGGGGTTCAGCTGTTGTGACGTCACATTTTTTGCATTATAAAAAAGCAATGTTAGAAAACGAACTTTAGACGTTATTTCGTGTTTTAGATAACTGTTTTAATAAATTGTAATAGTTTAGACAAGATTTTGGAAAAATATCGATGTTTAAAACAATTCAACTGCAATTTTCAGGGGGGGGGGGGGGGTGTAGGTTGAGGTGTGACGTAATTTAAGGGGGTGGGGGGATTTGGCTTTTTGTGACGACGTGTGACGGAGGGGAGGGGGAGGTAACAATCGTCAAAAAAAGCGTGACGTCATTTATGGATGACCCCTAAGGTATTCAAGCTTCTGTCATTGCCGCCATCGCCAGTAGAGAATCTAGAGGCGGTACACTACTCATTAACAGCTACGGTTACTCAAGCAATGGTGCTTATGGAATCATGCAGGTAAACTTAATGCATAGATAACTAGGCAATAGATCGTCATTATAACTATTTATGAGTGATTGTTTGATTTTCTTGCAAAAAAAAAAACATATTCTTAAAATATACATATCTTTAATTATTTTCCTATAATTCTCAATATTTTTAGGACGCGTCATTGAAATTGTTTTAAAAATGTAAAATAAAATACATGTATAGATATACGGAAATAAAGAAGCAAAAATTGAAATTAAGAAGCAAAAAAGATCCCACAAACAAATTGGGATTTACTGCCGACTTTGAATTTCAGTGCGACAGTAAGTCAGGCTTACCCTGTAATTCCGTCCCATGGAACAGCTGTGCTCACATTGAGATGATGGTCAATAAACTCCTGGTGCCTTACATCACAAAGGTCAGTCTGTGGTATTGATCTAATCAATTTATTATTATTATTTTTTTAAATTGACTTTTTATAAAAATAAATTGTACTGTCATTCCACTATTTTTTAAGCTCAGACACTGGACTGTGTTTGATATACAATTCAAATATTAGAATCAACTATCGAACAATTTCAGGTTAGATCTAAACTGACTAGCTGGACAAAAGATCAAGCACTACAAGGTAATTTTCCTGCTTACATCCTAAACTAATTTCCTGCTAGTCGGGAGCTTCTATTCCGTATATAGTTTATAACCAGAAACAAAAAAAACGTCGATACATTTTCAGTTTACTATGACACAGAATATTTTTTTCTCTATAATATGCTGACAGAGAGGGAACACTGTAGTGTATTATTTATTATCATATATTTCAAATTACTTATTTAATCTATTTTTTTAGCTTTTCCACTTTAACTTAGTAGGTTTAGTAATTTATTCCATTGCGAATACACTCTTAGCGATATTTATTTATTTTTTGGTTGCCTTGTTTTAAAATCATTTTATTAATAGAGCAGTGAAAAACGTTCACTTGAATCTACGATGCTGTTAGAAAGTCTTAGTGTTGAACCATAAAATGTGCATCTTTTTAGCTTTAATCTGTGACTGAACGATGTACTTATAAGGTTATAGTCTTTAACCATAAAATGGTTCACATTTTATTTAGCTTTAACTAAGACTGGTATTTTTTTATCGCCAAAGACTTGTATTGTTTCGTTTTGCTTTGACTTATTTTGTTTTTACTTTCTCGTATATACGAAGTATACAGAAAGTCTTGTAATCGTGCAAAAAAAAATCGAGATTTTTACAAATCTCGACGTTTTACACCTCACTGATACGGAAAAACTTAATTTTGCAATCTTGTCCGTATGTCTGTGTGTCTGTCTGTGGGTGTGTGTCTGTTTGTGTGTTAACACGGTAACTTGAGTACCGTTACAGCTAGGTTGATGAAATATCATATATAAGTATTTTATCAAAATCGTGGATCCATATTAACTTTTGAGCGATTTCCGATAACCGGAAGTGGTACTTTTTATACTTTGAATTTTTCAAAAGCCTATAACTTGGGTACTATTTTGGATAGATAAATGAAATTTCACATGTAAGTAAAAGATCTAATTTTCTACCTTCTGTCAAATTTTGAGTAATTTCCGGTTATCGTAAGTACTAATTTACGCTATTTCCGATTTCTCAAAAAAACGCATGTAAACTTATAAAGTACTAATAATATTGCGCACTATTATGCACATTTTGTTTTGGCGTTCGCTTGGTGCGCAATTCTTTTTTCTACGAGATTCTATTTTATTTTTAAAAGTTTAAGTAATTAAAAGTCATATCTATATTCCAAGTTATATAAGAATATTCGAGAAAGTTTTGGGGAGATCACTCCCGGTTTATTTCTATTTAAGACTAAGCTCTATCACAAACATAATGATTCGCTTACTACAACTTTGGTGTGACATATTGTTTGATCTATTTAAGACTAAGCTCTATCACAAACATATGGATTCGCTTACTACAACTTTGGTGTGACATATTGTTTGATCTATTTAAGACTAAGCTCTATCACAAACATATGGATTCGCTTACTACAACTTTTGTGTGACATATTGTTTGATCTATTTAAGACTAAGCTCTATCACAAACATATGGATTCGCTTACTACAACTTTGGTGTGACATATTGTTTGATCTATTTAAGACTAAGCTCTATCACAAACATATGGATTCGCTTACTACAACTTTGGTGTGACATATTGTTTGATCTATTTAAGACTAAGCTCTATCACAAACATATGGATTCGCTTACTACAACTTTGGTCTGACATATTGTTTGATCTATTTAAGACTAAGTCTATCACAAACAGGTGGTGTGGCCGCCTACAACTTTGGTGTGAAGAACGTCTGGACCTGGTCAGGTGTTGATGTGGGGACGACTGGTGGTGACTACAGCAATGACGTCATCGCCAGAGCCAAATGGCTGTACTCAAAGGGGTGGAATTAAAGAAGCCAGAAAGAGAATGTCATCCAAAACGTCTTTTCTCAATGATTCGTGAAATTTGAAAACTTTACTTGGGAATATTTTTAATGGACCATTTTTAAAGCACTATAGATAATTTAGCCAATTCGAAATAACGTATAATGTGTAAATTAAAATATAAACGTATAAGCTTTCGAAACTTTGTCAATACTCTTGAGGGTTAAATAAAAACAAAATAAACGAAACTGGATGTTTATTTGTTTTTGTCTATTATTTACATTGCCTTTTAGAATAAAATAGATATCAAGAAATTCAGTTACTTAACTTAAGTTAAAAATAAATCGACCGAAAATATATAATTAATTGTTACTCACATTGTGAATAAGCCGTCTTAATGCTTTAATCGACAATAGAAATTCGATATCAGTCAGATGTTGTTTGACTTGTATAATATATATATATATATATATATATATATATATATATATATATATATATATATATATATATATATATATATATACTGCACGGCAAAATATTGTTAGAAAAAAATTATACACGTAGCTCAAGAAGCCTATTTGACACAATTAGATGGTTATATATATATATATATATATATATATTAGATGTGTTGTTTAAACTTTCGAACCCTCATATATCTCATATTATATATGAGATATATGAGGGATATATATCTCATATAACCCTCATATTCCATTGTTATTATTCAATGGCATACACTTTCGCAAAAAACAATTAATTATTGAATTGATGTATTACTTACTTGTATACAGAGTATAGAGGAAGTATTGTAACCATGCACAAAAATCAAATGAAATTGTGACAGTTGTCTCCTTTTTACATCTCAATATCTCATCTTATGCGTATTATAGGGGACTTACTTTATGTGTGTCTCTGTGTGTGTATGTGTGTGTGTGTGTCGGTAGACTAGATAACTTGAGTACCGTTACAGCTTTCATATATAAGTGTTGTATTAAATTTGTAGTTCTGTATCACTTTTCAGCGATTTTTTTATGCTTTATATTGTTTACTTTCTAAATAAATCGAACCACAAACTAAATACTTTCTTGGAAAGTGTACATTAATTCAAAAACAATTTTAAGCTGCTTTGTGCTTCACGTGTTCATTGAAGTTTTGTTTGGAATACAATACACGATAAACTACAGCTGTTTCGTTCGTCCTGTGTTATGCAGTCGATTTTCTAATGCAGATTAAATCTAAGAGTTTTAATGTCGGTTTCGGATTTAAAAGATTAGCTCGACGATTACTATACTTTAATCCTAAGGATTAGGCTTATGAGTATGATTAACTGGTGTTTTGATATCGCATTAGAGTTATACCCATTAGCTGGATCAATACTGAATTTTAATGTTCGATCTATAAGCCAGTAAGACTAAATAGTTTCAAACACAAGAGAAAATGTTTTTAATCACGCCGTTCTCTGTTGTATTAGCTGGAACTGAAGCAGGTATTTACTAGGAAAAAAATGAATTCGATTTTCTAAAATAAATGGTGCAACATGAAAATAGAAGTGATATTCCTATTTCTATCAAGTGAACTACTGCACAGCGATTATTCTTCCATTTCTTTTTCTTTAATAGTTTAAATAAACAATGAAAAAAACATGAGTATTTTTTATCTTTTGTATTGAAAATAATAAAGGGTGCGCCAAAAGACCCTATATGTCTGCATTGTTTATATTTTATTTTAGGCTCTGATAGATTTTAAAAGGAGATTGATAGAGTACTTTTTTCCAAACTAGCCGAAGCAGATAAATTAGAGTTATACATTTTTTGCCAAATCTCTTCAATTTATGTGTAGGTGTGTAGTAAGCACAACTGCATTTTATTCTTAATCTCACCTAAGATACCCATTAAAGCCGAGGACATTTCATCATGATCATGATGATGATGATTATTATTATCATGATCATGATGAATATCATCATCATCGTCATCTTCTTCATCCTCATCATCATCATCATCATCATCATCATCATCATCATCATCATCATCATCATCATCATCATCATCATCATCATCATCATCATCATCGTCGTCATCATCATCATCATCACCATCATCATCATCATCATCATCATCACTATCACTATCACCATCCTTTAACAATTATTGGTGTCGTTGTGGCTCCATCGTTGGCCTTTTAACTTTCCGCCATCCATGTCGTTCCTCTGCCGTTCTGATTACTTCTGCGACTTGCAGCCCCGTCCAATTCTTGAAAACCTCCATCAAGTGTCGCATTTGCCTTTCTCTATTTCCCTCTCCCCTTCCAAGGCACAGTGCCCTGCAATATTGTTTTGGAATCGTGATTGATATTTTATATCGTGCTCGGTAGGCTCTCAGTGTGACCTTTCTGAACTTCTGAAATTTTATAATTTTTACTACGCTCGGTGGGCTCTCTGTGGGACCCAGTGGCGTAGCGAGGTCGGGTGTCACCCGGTGCGGCACTTAATGGTGTCACCCCCCCCCCAGAGGCGTAGCCACCCTTCCCGTGGACAAACTTTAAAATTTCCGATTTGCACCCCCCCTCAAACTTTCGATTTGCACCCCCCTTCAAGTTTTTCTTTATATATTTTTCTATTTTTTGGCTTGGTGTCACCCCCATAAATGGTGTCACCCGGTGCGGTCCGCCCCCCACCCCCCCTCGCTACGCATCTGGTGGGACCTATCTCAACTTCTGAAATTTTAAAATTTTTACTATGCTCAGTGGGCTCTCAGTGGGACTTATCTCAACTTCTGAAAGAAGAGCCCTTTAAACGAAACTGAGATTTGTGTACGGCCGCTGAGGTTAACAATCTAAATCGTGCGCCTTACAGCTTGATTAAAGGTAACATTTTTCTGAACTTTTCTAATAATAAACCGGTAGTGATCTCCCCTAAACTTTCTCGAATATTCTTATATAAAACAACAGTGGATGGTAACTGGGGATATAGTTATGATTTTTAATCCATTTTAAATACTTAAACTTTTAAAAATAGAATAGAATCTCAGTAAAAAACAATTGCGCACCAAGCGAACGCCTAATAAAGGTGTGTATAATAGTGCGCAATAGTATTAGTACTTAATAAATTTACATTAGTTTTTTGAGAAATCGGAAGTAGCGTAAATTACAACTTCCAGTCAACGGAAATTATTCAAAATTTAACAGAAGGTAGAGAATTAGATCTTTTACTTACATGTGAAATTTCATTTATCTATCTGAAATAGTACTCAAGTTATAGGCTTTTGGAAAATTCAAAGTAGGAAAAGTACCACTTCCGGTTATCGGAAATCGCTCAAAAGTTGATACGGATCTACGATTTTGATAAAATACTTAAATATGAAATTTCATCATTCTAGCTCTAACGGTACTCAAGTTATCGTGTTTACACACGGACAGACACACAGACACACACACACACAGACATACGGACAAGATTGCAAAATTATGTTTTTCCGTATCAGTGAGGTGTAAAACGTCGAGATTTGTAAAAATCTCGATTTTTTTTTTTGCACGATTACAATACTTTCTCTATACTACGTATATACGAGAAAGTAAAAAGGGTGTTTCTACAAATGAATAGAGATCGAATAAATTAATTATCTTCTTTAAGTAAATTAACGTATACACTTTGAGGAAAAAAATAACATTTTTTCTCTACATAAATACGTATTGTAGATTTCTACACATAGTACAATAGCTGTCATCTCGCGAAACAGACAATAACGAAAAAAAATATTCAATCTTGTAAACAACTAGACTTTTAGCAGTGTATAGATAGATCATCATATTTTTATTTAATATTCAAAATTAGTAAGTGTTGAGTGTTTGATTCGTCTTCATTCAAACTATTCAGCTCTCACTTGTAGAGTCCGGAAGATCTACTACCTTTAAACTGCGGGAAAAAAATAATGCAGAGCGTTACATTTTGTTGGATTTAACTTTTTAAAGTGTTTCGTTGTTTTTTTTTTACAAATGTGTTCTTACTTAATCATGTTGGTCGTATGTTCGTTTGTCCGTCTCAGCACAGGATTTAAATGTCGAGATAAATGAACGACCAAAGAGAGAATAATAAAAATTTACAATTTATATTAATAATAATTTTAGGCATACTCACTTCGTAGCAAGTACGAGTATGCATGTGCACTTTTGGTATAACTCGATGGTATAATTAAATATGTATATTAAATTTTTTATTGTTATTAATTTATATGAGTTTAAAATGATATATAGCATACAATATATTAAAATTATTATTTTATCCAATAATAATCACTCTCTTTTATTTTGCCTCAAATTAGTAGAGGATGACCGATTTTGAAGTACCGATTGCAAAAATAAGACAGATTTACAGAGGGTAAGTACCTTACAAATCTTTTTCAAACATGCACCTTCTTTTTTTTAAATAGTCCTTGTTTACATAAGTAAATACAGCCTATAGTTTCTTTTAATTAACGGCCTTTCGGGGTTTTCGTTAACCTCAGTGAAATGTTTAGTAAGTGACATAGCGTCAGAGTGGGTGGGTGGGGGGGGGGGGGGGGGGTTGACTTGAAGATTTGGTTTCGATATTTTACAGGATTCACTTTTTTGTCACTCACTTGTAATCAGATAAACTAACCAGGACGAAAAAAAAAAACAGACAAACGTACAGACAAGTGAAAAGGACAGACAAATATACAAATGGACAGACGAAAAAGGACTGATGGAATGTCAGAGAATAAGACAGACAGACGAAAAGACATTAGACAGTAAGGGTACCTGTGTAACAGTGAAGCATTTTTAAAAAGACTAATAAAAAAATATTGTTAGAAAAAAATTATACACGTAGCTCAAGAAGCCTATTTGACACAATTAGATGGTTATATATATATATATATATATATATATTAGATGTGTTGTTTAAACTTTCGAACCCTCATATATCTCATATTATATATGAGATATATGAGGGATATATATCTCATATAACCCTCATATTCCATTGTTATTATTCAATGGCATACACTTTCGCAAAAAACAATTAATTATTGAATTGATGTATTACTTACTTGTATACAGAGTATAGAGGAAGTATTGTAACCATGCACAAAAATCAAATGAAATTGTGACAGTTGTCTCCTTTTTACATCTCAATATCTCATCTTATGCGTATTATAGGGGACTTACTTTATGTGTGTCTCTGTGTGTGTATGTGTGTGTGTGTGTCGGTAGACTAGATAACTTGAGTACCGTT